ACCATGTCGTGTTTGGGGCTTAAGGATTAAAGCGACACATTGTAGAGCAACTCCAACTCATTTATTCTATAAATCCACACGCGCCATTCTTTTAGACGTCAGGCTGTTGAGCCCGCTGACAATCAACGCTTCCTGTTGAACCTTTCACAATAAAACAAGTTACAAAAAAAATTGTACCGTAATAGTCATTTTTGTGTTTGCTGATATCCGTTAGCTGTGTTAGCCATCTTGAATCAAGTTGAGCCAAAAAGTTAATCAGAAATAGATGTTTATCGGATAATTACTTTCTGAGAGTTTCATTGAAATCTTCCCTGTAGTTCATGAGATATTTTACTAACAGACAAAGAAGCGTGCACACACAAGACAGACACGATTTCCCATCTGTAACTATATAAGGTTATAAATATGCTGATAAAATTGAGGAGCAAACCAAAATATACCAAATAAGTGCAGTTTTACACTTTAAAACTCTCAAATAAATAATCAAATGGGACCTTAAACCAGATCTCATGAATAGCCATGGATGAAACGGCTCCCCTCCAGCCACAATAAAAGCTTCACCAGCTCCTATTGTTTTTGCACTATGTGTGTGTGTGTGTGTGTGTGAGAGAGAGAGAGAGAGAGTATTGCAATGCTCTGCCTCGTCCCATCTGGAAGGAGGTGTTAAGATAAGACTGCAGTCTTTATGCTAAGCAACACGCCGCTCCTCGGTGCACCAGATTGGGCACTCTGACAACAGTTTATGTAAATATCCGGAGAAGCCGGTGCACGTCTCAGAAGAAAACATTGCGAGTGAGGGCAGCGAGGGGAAAATGCTGCACCAACACCGTGTGAACCAGCTGGGACTCTCTGAGATGGAGTTGAAGGTGTTGAGGCAGTTCAGAGTGTTGGTGCACACCTGAATCGATGACTCACCGCCTTAAACTCCACCCTGTTTTATTGTTTCTGAACTGAATTTGAAGTGAACTGTCATTCTGTTTGTCTCTCCTTCCCGTTCCTCTCAAACCCAAGCCAGTCGAAGCAGATGGCCGCTCATCCTGGTCCTGGTTCTGCTGGAGGTTTCTTCCTGTTAAAAGGGAGTTTTTCCTTTCCACTGTCTCCTCTGTGCTTGCTCAGGATGGGAGACTACGATGAAGTTAAGATTCAACGTAAACTGCTGTCTTGCTTAGACAGAGAACTTTTATTTATTGTTTTATATTTATGTGAATATTTCTGTTCAGTGCCCTGAGACGACTTCTGTTGTGACTTGGCACTATATAAATAAACTGAATTGAATTGAATTTGAATCTGTGGTGAAGCATGGAGCAGCTCTTCCCTCTCAACTCCAGAATACTTTGAATCAGGTCGAGCACGCTGCTGAACAAACACACGGCTGAGTAAAATCACTGTGCAGGCAGTGAACATGGATACACACTCTCCACTTAAACGTGCAAAGCATGACTTTGTTATCACCCGCTGCCGCCTGGTATACAACCACCCTTGACACTGGCAATAGTACAAAAGAAATGCATGTTTTAAAATTATTTATTTTCCAACTATTCTTAATTTTTAAACAGCTCCTTCAGTGTAACTACAGTAGATGTGGTCTTTTTTTATTTATTTTTTCTTTTGGTTGCTTATTTCTTCAGGGGTCGCCACAGAGAACGAATCCAATATTTTTCAGTCAGGTCATCTGGACAGTTTCTTTTTTTGTGCTGAAACGTTTCACGTTTGATTCGGAAGGCTTCATCAGTCAAGGAAACACACAACACAAAACTGATTCTTCCCCCAACAGCTTACTCCAAAGTGGAACAAACCAGTTATGTTGGTGCTAAGATGGTCCCTGCACAGAGAGCAAGCTTGTCTCAAAAGATTTGGCAATTGTTTTTACACCAGATGCCCTTCCTGACAAACCTGGACTCGAACCTGCAGCCTCAAGATTATAAGACCACGGCACTGACCACTAGTCCACAAATGTTGTCATAAATTCACAACTGAAAGAAAAAGAAAACCTCAAAGGACTCTTTTTTTTTTTTTTTTCCAGTTTTCCAGACCCTTAAATTGACTCAGCTCTCTCTAACTCTTTTGGAAGTGTATATATGGTAAGCGATCAAAAGGTTGCAAGTCAATTGCTTATCCTGTAAAGGTTTTGTGGTTTTTGTGGCCCCCTTTCACAGCACGAGGACCCAAGACTCCAGAGTAAACTCTGCGGCTGATAATTGACTCTGACGAATACCTCTGTTTGTTCTGAACGGTCTCTGGGTGACTGAGAGCCAGGCGTTGAGCTCTGTGAGAGGTCTGTTTGGTTTTTGAGCTGCAATGTGGTCACCCAATGAAGCCGAAATGAAAGGAGGGGTCTTCACCCCCCACTTATTCTTTAAAAAAGTACCATTAAGCCCAGTTCTGCACAATGGCGGTGGCAGGGGACCCACAGAGAGTCTGCTTTTCACTCACCAATGTGTTTATTTAAGCAGGAAGCATCTTCTTTGCAGCCCCCTCTCTTTTCAGAGGAAAGTTGTCTTCAACCAGAGAACAAAAACTGAGGGGAAAGTTTGGCTGAATTTGAATCATTGTAGGATTTTAGCTTTGGCTAAATCGGATTCTTGTGGAAAACCAGACGAAGCTTGTCAATGGGATTAATTCAGGTTGTTGAAACTCTTGAAGTGCTTTTCTCTCATGCAGACAGCCAAGTTTTCAAGTAAAGAATGTACGCCCCCCCAGCCCCTCCCTTGAACCCAAGGATTTAATATTGGCACGTTGGTACCTTCCCCACAAGAATTCATAAACTAAAAAATTAGCCTCTGTCTGTAATTGCACTCTCCTTTGTCTAATAGAGGAGAGGAGGTGAGGTAAAGAAGGCAAAAAAACAACAAAGGACAGTTAATTTGTGATTTCCTCTGCTCATTTGAAGGCAAATTAAGTGTCAAACAGCTAATACAGAGCATATTTCATTTTATGAGCTTTTAATTTAATTCCACCGCCTCATATCGCTGGAGCCTGTTAGCTGCGCAGCTAACGCCCGCTCCTTGTCTGAAAACGAGGGCCATAAATAAACATGTTTCAATTAGGCCCTTCACAGTAATAGGATGTGATTCTGTTCATTTGCCACGTACGAATGGTGGATGTGTCGTGGTGGTGGAGAGAAAACAAGCTGCTGGGCATTTGCAGTGTTTTTCTATCCAGCTTCGGTAGCCTCGGTGGTGGTTGGGTCGTGCGCGCAGCGGGGGGAAGCTGACGGGATTGATGGAACTGCCGCGGGGCTAACCCAACTGTAATTACAGGCCGTAATGAGAGGTTGCATGGGGAAGTACTGCAATAATGGTCCCTGTGTACTTAGGCATATCTTTGAGAGGGCTAATAACGATTAATTCTGCACACGGAGGAGAACTTGTCTTAAAACAATTCAATATTTCTCCATAAGCCGCCTCTTGTCCTCTGTTTCCCTGAAACGACAGCTAAACATCGACTGCCGTTTTTTCCTTGAACCAGCTACAAGGAGCAATACTGAACAGAGTGTGAAGCTTCAAGTGCTGGCAGAGAGTTGGTTTTTGGCTGCTCGTAAAGTTCAGCCACAGCTCGAACTTGCACGAAACCTGGGCGCACAATTAACTCCAATTTGCCATCAGGTGGTTTCTGTAATACCACATGTGATGAGTGCTTCTTCTCACCGGGGAACCCGGTGCTGCTTTTTTAATCAAGCGTGCAATATTGCTTCTAGGCTCAAAAGAAGGTTGGAGCATGTAAGCTCATAGATAAAGTGGATGACAGTGTGCTCACAGAGTCAATTTTAATAGGCCTGGCTAGTGAACAGCCGCCTTATAATCATGACAAATAGTTTCCCTCAACGTGGCATGTCATATTAAACAGCTCAAAGCTTAATGGTTTGGATAAAAAGGCCTTAAGTAACGCGGCAGAGCATGACCGTATCTCCACTGACAGCGTGCAGGTAACTCCTGTCCAAACGGAGTGACTGAAGACACCGCCGCTGTGTAATTTCTCCCCCACTTAATTCAATTCCCTGGCTCAGTGTTGTCCCTCTACTCATTTTTCTTTCTCCCTCCCTAACCTGCGCTCCACGTCATTCCAAAGCGCTCCTGACGGATAACAAGCCCCGACAGTTTGTTTGAGCCTGCGTTGCCTGCGCGTGTTCGCTCCCATTATCTCCACATAAGCTAAATACTAAATTATATTTGCCATTTTGTTTTGCGGTGACACAGGGCATCAATCACCTCCCTCTTTTTTTTTTTCCTTCCTTTCTTCCTCTGCCGAAGCAGGAGAATGAGAGGTTGAAAGGTGCGGTGGACCGGAGGTGGAGGGGTACATAAAAAATTCATTATGCTTAGTGGCACATCAGCAAGGGAGAGATATGACTCTTGGAGGAGGAGGAGGAAAAAGGAGGGTAGGAGGGGGAGTTGATAATGATGAAGAACATCAAAAATAATGCGGCCCAAGTAGCTGCCCCGTCCAATTTGTCCTTGTCGCGAAATGATCACTTCCTTCGTGTCTTTTCCCAGGAAACAAGCAGCGCAAGGACAATGAAGCATTTCCTTGCAGTACTCAGGGTACGGATGCAAAGAATACAAATGATGAAGATCAGGAGAGGCAAAAGAAAGAGTTGAAGAGGTTGAGAAAAGTGAGCTGGAGTGCTCTGAAGTTCTCTGTTGACCTGGTGAGTACCACCAGAATCACTCCACGGACATACAAGACAACTACAGTAAAAGTTGTCCGATTCAGACCAAACAACTGGTCCGACTAATGAGAATGGATCTGTGTTTTACCTGACTTAATACTTGATCGACTGAACGTGAGTGTGACGGGATGAGGTGCAACAGTTTGTTCCAGGAGCCCATCTGTCAGCAGAGGCATTGCATCCTCCTCTTGACAGGGCTTGATCATTGCTCATACGAGAATCGCGTGCGCCCAGGCTCCCCCATCGCCCCGCTCTTATTTTCATATCTCTGACACATGTTCATTTGCGTGTCTCTGACATGCGGATCATGTTGCGCACGCAGAGAGGCCACATCCTTTGATCCTGAAAGGCAAAGAGAGAGGCACCCACGAGGAATAGATGCCCTGAAGAGGAAGGAAGTTTTGCAGCTAGATTTTTATCAGCCGAATGCAGTCAGCAATATTTGTGTCGTGAGGCTTGTAGCTTGAGGGTGTGTGATCACTTTGAGACACTTACATATGAAGTGGGGGAATGGGGGATGGCTCATAGATGTAGCGTCCCTGGGTGTGTCTGTCGTCGATTGGCACAGGGGGATGGAAGGTGGGAAAGAACTGTGGAGCAGCTGTGTAGAAAAAGAAAAGAGAAAAAAAACACAATTTGGTTTAAACTTTGCAGGACATTGTAAATTTTCAGCAAATCTATCATCCGCTGCCTCAAGCTGAAGGCCTAAAGGCTCCGGACATGTGTGTTTGTCTGTTACCATAATATCTCAAGAAAGACTGAACCTATATAATGAAACTTGCAGAAAGTAGCTATTGGGTGCACTTCTATTAGATTTTTGATAGCAACCTAAAAAAAATAGATACAGTTGATTCAAATTTACAGATATTGAGCTAAAGTTTGATATGGTAATAGTTGAGAGTTATTCACAACACTGAGCATGACATCTCACAATACCGCATAAGACTGAGCATTATGTTATTTTCAAGTTTTGGCCAAAACTATACATCTTTATCATTCCTCAACATAAGATGGGCAATATGCATTCCTTCAAGGAATGCAATGCTTTTTATTTTTTCTATGTGATATCATTCTTTCCTTAATCTCAATAGCTGTAATGAAAGGCAGTGGTTGATGGCTATCTTTTAGCAGACCCACCCAAAGGAGACCTCGTTGAGCTAAAAACTGCACTGCTCCAAAGTGTTCGCAAAGGAAGTCTTTGTAAACCTCTCAAGGCTGACAAAACTCAAAAGAAACTGCAGTAAATAACCAAAAGAAAAGCAGCCAAACGGCACTTTTCTCACCCTGCCAAGCATAATATGGTTTTGTACAAAGGACATTTAAGTACGACAAACGAGAACAAAAACATCCTTTACCATCTGAGTGTTTTGTCACAACCACCAGAGAGAATCCATAGGCTTCTTTTCTCCCTTCCTGATTAAACATCACATTTGCATAATATGTGCTTTCAAGCTTTTATCTATTTTTACTCCTGAAATAGAAGCTGTTGCATTACCATCACACTGAATATTCACTCGTCTTCTAACCTTAGCTCTGTAAACCTAAAAAAAAAAAAATATATCTAAGTCATGATTTGGGAGCCGGAACACTGACTTCTCCGGTGTCGGGCAAGTCGAAACTTGCAAATCATAAGTAGGAATTTCAAATAAGTGCTGAGCTGTGAAACTAAAATGCCCAGAAAGAGCAAAAGAGAATTACATCTTTGTTCGTATCTCACCCTTGAAGCACGTGCGGCTTTACTGCCTGTTACTGAGGCCAAGTTGTGTTTCACCACCCGAGGCAAAGCATGTGTCAACATCTGTCGAGCTTCACGCAACAAGTTGAACGCTGCGAGATATGTGTTTTTACTTCTTATTTTCCTTGTAAACATTTGAGCCAAGTAGGCAGATGGCCAAACGGTGGGGTGCCAAGCCGCTCTACAAGTGTTGGGAAATGACAAACGCAGCTGCAGCTCAGGGTAGAACAGCAGGTGTTGATCCAGGTCTGCTTACCTCATCATGCATTCATTCACCGGGAGGTTTATTACCAGCTTGAAATAAAACGGCAGCAATCAGAAAGATATTTGACCTGTGCTTGTTACTCTGCAGCGTTAGATTTTAATCCTAAAAAAACCCTTTAAAGAAGCAAATGGATGAAAAGTTGAGGCGCTGACATCACATGTACAAAACTGAATATTCGTCAGCACTAACACAAGAATTCAGCAAAATCGAATATTGTATCAGGTATCAATCAAAAAGTAATGGATCAACAGAAAAACAAAAACGCAGTTGGATTAAAAAAAATGATTCACCAACTTTGACTCCATTTTTAAAAAAAAATTAAAATGCATATTTGGCTCCTAAAGGCCCATTTGTGTGCAGTAAGTCAGGCTTTGTGGTCTAAGATGGAAATGTTCTTAAAAAGAAATAGTCCCGAGCTTTTGAGTAAACAGTTAATACAAATGATATCTTACATACTGTCACACAAACAATTCAATTCTATCGTTGTCAGTAGAAAACAAGTCGTGCTGAGTTTAACACAGAGTTTTCATGTGATGCAGTTTAAAAGAAAATTTGACCCTCTTTTGTCTTAAACCTCATCTTTCAATTATTAAGTCCCAATTTTGTCACAGGCCCTCTCGTCAAACCACCTGACTGATGCAACTTTAGTATTTTTAACTAAACTTAAAAGGTTTCCATAGAGTGACAACCAGAATTATAAAGTTGTTTTAACAGGCTGTTGCAATCCCCTCGAGTGATAAACTGACTCTGACATGCTGGATAAATTAGCACAAACAACATGATGCACATCAGGCAGGCCAACAATTACGGTTGTGAGTTCACTCACACGCAGTTATCTTGTTTTTGTCCGAGTAGATGAATATATGAAGGGCTTAGCATTTATCAAAGAAATGCATAGGTTTGAAGTACAACTGTCTTATCATGTCCGCCTTTTCCCTTTCAGCCCCGAGCGATAAGCATGTCTGAAGATTAGTCAGCAAGAAAGGAAAAGTTTGAGGATTGTTTTCAGTTTGTCGTGGGTATCCATGCTTTTAAATGGACAGTTCTGAGTTTTAATTGAGGTACGGTGTATAATTTTTAGTGCCGCCCGTTCATACCCTATCACTTGCAGCAGAACTGAAGCTTCTAACAAGTGAAAACAAACTTTTTGACGCGATGCAGGAGTTTTAATCCGACGCGCACAGTATCGGAGATAAGTGGTAAAATCCTTCTCCATGAAGCTCTGGCGTGTATCTGACTGCTGCAGCTCTGTCTGTTTGATAGTTTTCTCCTGATGTTTTTTTGGCTGGGCCAACATTGGCTGATCTCAGAGCTGCAGAGGGAGGGAGGCTTGAATGAGCTCGCAGCAGACGAGGGCAGAATCTGATCTGTTTACTCTACGCAGCTCCACTCCTGGGCATTCGGCCCTTGGCTGTCAGACTCGGAAATGAACCTTTCAGGTTTACACTATGTGTTATGTATCGGCTCGAGGCTCGTAAAAAATTCATGTTCTCTAATCTAGCTCATCCCTGCCCGCATAGCAGGAACTTTGTATGAACCTCTGTCATCTCAGGCAATTGGGGATGAGGTGAAAGATTACAAGCTGAGCTACATTACATCCTCATTTCCCCAAAAGTTGAGAGGTTGTGTAAAAAGTAAGTAAAAACAAAATTTGCCAATCTCATAAACCCCTATTTTATTCACAATGGAATATAGTAGACATATGAAATGTTTAAACTAAGAAATGGTAGTATTATTTGAAAAGAACAAGATACTTTTTACATTTAACCCCACAACAACATTCAAAAAACTTGTAGCAGAGCCACATTTTCCACTGTGAAACATCTCTTCATCTTTTAACAACAGCCTGTTAACATCAAGAAACTGAGGAGACCAGTCGCTGGGAGTTTTGGCAAGTTGTGTTGTCCCATTCCGCTCTGATTTATTTAGGATTCTAGAAGACTCAACAGTTCTGGGTCTTCTTTACTGACTTGAACATTGCATGAATTGTTTTTAACTTGTGAGAAGGTGTGAACTGTAGGAAGACCACTTCAGCAACTGAACTCTTCTAATATGAAGCCATGCTTTTTTTGAATGCAGTATGCTGTTTAACATTGTCTTGCTGAAATATGTAAGGCTTTCTTTGAAAAAGACATTGTCTGGATCAGAGTGTGTTCTTCTAAACAATGTATATAATTCCGTCCACCTCCTAATGACATCACTGGTTGAGATCAACGGCACACTTTCACTGAACACAATGTTGGTAAAGAGCTGCTTTCCCCTCCTCAGCTGCCTGATGGTTTGCCAGACTCTCCTCTGAGCCAACCGAGTCTCTAAGGGGCATCGGTGGATGACAACATTTTGAATTTAGATTTTTTTTTTACCAGTTTTCCACTTTGCCTATGTCCATTTTAAGAGTCTTGTCTGAGAGAGGACAGCAGTGCTTCTGAATGATGTTCACATATGACTTTTCCTTGACCTTTGTGCACAGAGATTTCTCCAGATTCTTAAAATCTTTTGATAAAATGAAATTTAAATGATGGGATATTCAGTCTCCCCAGTTTTCCTATTGAAAAACATTATTCTGATGTTGTTTTGCAGATAGGTGAACCTCTGCCAGTCTTTTTCCTAAACTATTCAGTTTCTCTAAAATGCTCTTTTTACACCTAGTTCTATTACTGACCTGTTGCCAATTAACATAATTTGTTACAAAATGCTTTTCCAGCTGTTTCTTATTCATACCAAATATTTTTACAGCTTTTTGATGCCGTTATTCCAAAATGTATAAGATGTGTTGCTCAAAATTATCTTACTTTTCCCCAAAGAAATGTACAATTTCTTAAACATTTGAAATGTTTATTATTATATTCCTTGGTGAATAAAACATGAGTTTATGAGATATGCAAACGATTCCATTCTGTTTTTATTCATATTTTTTACACAATGTCTCAACATTGTCAGAATATGGGTTGTAAAAGACTACCCTGTAACCTTTTGCAAACCTCCACTCCCACATCCACCACTCCTTTTTGAATTACCCAGACCCCTTTTGTTTATGTCTCAGGAGGTACTCACTCAGCACAGCCCTGTGCACGGACTGGACTCGTTTTCTTCCTCCTTCATCACTCCTTCCCTCCCTCCCTTGCTTCTCCAACAACGTCGCTGCTCGGCGAGCCGTTCCACTGAGGTTTATTTAAATCAATCTCACAAGTTTACTTTACCGCGGCTCTGTCTAAACAGAGAGTGCCACCTCTTTTACACCAGCACAGCTCTCCATTAGCAAGGCAAACAGCCCCATGTCACTAGAGGGAACATATACAGTCACAAAGAACAGAGCAAAAAGAAAGTTGGGAGGGGGCCTCCACACTGCAATTCATCTCCAGTGTTTCCTGTAGGGACTCTTTACGGTTTATGCTGAAGACTAAATTGGCCCTGCTCTTCTGGATGTTTAGGAGCATTCTCGTCCTCTGATATGGAATACAGCGAGAATGAAAGCGTAAACCAAAAGACACGGTTTTTGCTTTTGTACTGTGACCACACACCAAAACAGCTGACACATTCATAAAGAACAACATATAGTTTTTCCCTGGCTGCATGCATCAAATTGACTACAGATTTAAAC